TTCTTTATTTTGATGTGCTCATACATTTTTTGAGAACTGTTTCAATAACGGAAAAAAGCTCGGAAGGTTGCTATTTTTACGGATTTTTTTTCTGTGCACGACGCCAAAGAAAAATGGATTATATAACGATTAAAATTTATGGCAACCAAAATGTTTGTCATCAAAAAATTTTTTTTTCCAAAAGTTGGTGATCTATCGAAATTAAACCCACTAGCTAAAGTTTACTCCACACTTTTCTTTCCATAGTTACTATAATTCATTGTCTTCATTTTCTCTATGTTCTCTTTTGCTCTTTTATTTCCATATTCCTCTGATATGCAACATATTCAGCCATATCATTGCACCATCAGGTATAAGACATTTGTTTTTGCCACATGTGTCAAGTGCAGCTGTCATTGCCACAATGCTCTTCCTCTCTCTCATAAAAATACTAATATATGGTAACTGTGTGTGCAACGTAGCTGCTAACTGACTCACAGGCTTACCGACACTTCCTGGAATCTGTTGTTCGAGATGGAAAAGCAGATTCAACCGTGCAAAGGAAAGATTCTTTATATTATATACAGAACGTGCCTTGAATGTGTGGCATGGTAAATGCAAAGTGCTTTATATATGGTACTTATGCACAATATGAAGAGAGCGGTAGAATTTAAAATGCATGAAAAAAGTTTAAAAGCGGATTGGAAAATCAGAGTAAAGTATATGGAAAGCTATCGCAGTTTAAGAGTTGCTCTAATTTCCTTTATTTCTTGTGCGTGATTGCAGAGTTCTGCCGCTTTTACTACTTATTGGAGGAAATTTTTTGATAGTGAATTTTGATTGTCAATATTTTCAGTCAATCTTCAATATTCTTTTATTTCATTACGTACTCAGTCTTAAATATGTCTCACCTTTTCACAACCAAATATATTGAATTAAAAATTTTATCGCTTTCAATAAATATGTCAATCTATTTCATGTTAAATTTTGTATTGCCAAATATTTGTGTTCAACTGTGCTTGACATATTTGTTTCACCATTCAGCGCACTCTCGAAAATCCACTTTACTCCTAATGAAAATCCTCATTGACAAATAAATTTTTTCAAAACGTTTATTGATCCATAAACCAATGTCAATCAGCTACATGACATCGATCATCAAGCCCATACACACATATAGGTATATACCTCACTAACACAATTTCCACACTACCAATCAAATGCAATGAAAGCGAAAAGTGAGCAATGGCAATGCTAAAAAAAGTTTCCGAATATACATACATATGTATGTGTAAGTAGCAGCAGATTAATTTTCGAAAAAGTATGAATTGAAAATCACTGAAATATGCCAAGAGCACGTTCGTTCGCATTCCACACTAATACTCACAAATATGCGAACTAAATATGTATATGTACTAATGGATGTATTTATGTATAGATAAATATGAGTATTTTGTATATGGTTGTCTATTTTCTGATATCTAAGACAGGGTGGTTCAGTGAGTGATTCATCAATAAAAATTCAAAAAAATAATTAAATAAAGAAAAAAAGTACTGACATTTTCGACAGAGTAGAAGATCGGTTTATCTCCGCCGGAATTTTTTTTATAATAAAAATCGGTTAGGGAGTCGTTGACTTAAATTGGACGGGGTTTCAGCTTGTTTCGAGGTAAGAATCATCTTTTAATTCGTACCTGCTTCCAGTGGCAGATTAAGCCGATTTCTTCCAATTGGATTTTTGATAGTGACGAAATAAGGATCGAAATAATGGTTTCGGAAATATTTCCAAAGAAAACTTTCACAATAATACTACTTAAGTGTTGATTTTGATAAATATATATAGTGAATTGTGAAGTAAAATTATGAGTGTCAGGTTTGATGGGTTGTGAAGGAGACAAATCCGTTCCGTGTTAACAATTTGACACCTACCATCTGACAAACTTCGCTACGTTTCATCTGACATTCATCGGATCAATGTATTCTGACAATTGTATGACAGTTGTTATTTGTCATCCATCAAACATCTCTTTGAGAATTTTAGTGAGATAGTTAGTTTGACCATCTACGGTAACCCCCCCTTCTGACATCTGTCATCGAACAACCGCTTGACAGTTGACAACTCACGCTTATTTGGCAGATGTGTTTTGACATACATCGGACAGTTGTCATATAAAATTTGATAATTAGTATGATCATATACGTATCCGTTAATCCTCTAACTATACTGAAATAATTAGTGGCAATCATCTATTATATTGATATCAAATTTTCTATACTTAAATTAATCTTTTATACCTTTTTTAGAAGTCACATGTGCATTTTTCTTTTTTTGTGAATGAGCTTTTTGGAATCATGCTATAAAGTTCGAGCCTCTTAAAGAATAATACTGCTGTATTGCTATTTTTTACAAATAAGTATGTATTTTACGATGCATAGCCTTCAGAGTGATCACGCTAGGTCCTCAGAATGATTACTTGACACAATAGTTTTGCTTCTTTAATAAAGCCGTCGAGAAGGAAATAAGTTTAAGTTTTTTATTGAGTGATAATTTTTGTTGGTTAGGTAATTTTTTGCTCTGCAAACATGGTCTGAATAATTTTTCGATTTAGCTGAGCGTTTACGAGATATTCATCTTCAAACATCAATGCAATCAAATAAAAACACAAAGAAACAAAAAAATGCAAAAAAAAAAGAGAAAAACAAGACCATTTTTGGTAGAGCTTTAAATTTCCTACAGTGCTTTGCAATTTTAAATGATGATTTTTCATTGAGCTATAAAATTCAGAAGAAAAAAACAAATGTGACTTAAAATAGTAATAGTCAAACTTCAACCTTTAATCTTTTTTATCTTTTAATCGGTTAGGTTTACGAAAAAACCGTGAAACATCATTTTGTAGAGCATTAGATCGTAAGAAAAAATTGATAACGGTAAGGCGCAGGACCTTCCCGTTACAACTAAGAGCTGATATTTGGAGGGCCTCTCTCAGAGTAGTCTACCAACCCATTTTTCGGAGTACGTACCAAGCGAAAAACAAACATTCGTGGTTTTTTGGTCCACCCTAATATATATATATATATAAATATATATAATTTTTGCTCAGTTGAAATTTCATATGTGCCAACTTTATTCCTGACTATGTCTAAAATGGAAATTTCGAAGATTTAATATTTTGTAATATGTATTAGGTTTTAATTTTCCGTTAGCTGGAAACTCTTCTAATAAATATGTCAAAATTAAGGGTTTCGACTTCCCTTTAACATCCATGCCGTATAATTGTTGCTGTGCTATGTACTTCTATCGAAATTTCGAAAACTCTAATCATCAGCAATTTTGATTATAGCAGGCTTTGTTTTTTTATTTTTTTTCGAAGTTAGTTCAAAAATTAATATAAACTACGCAATATTCACTCATGAAAAAAAATTCAAAATCTTCGGGAATTACTTAAAAACAAGCGTCTTTGTGATACAGATTTGCCACAGCCAATATAAAGAAGTCATGGGATTTAATAAAGAAATCACTATATGAGCCACCCATTGACGTCGCTAGTTGCCTGGCATAGCAAATCCAATGAAATGCGCTGCCTAAGCTCGTTATTTGTAAAATTTAATGTGCTGACTCAAGCAGTGTAAGCGCACATCGATGTCGCCTTTTAGCTGCGTCATTACGATGGGACATTAGTGACAGAGCTGTCAACGCTGCCATTAAATGGCCATGCCGGAGCTCAACAAGTTACACTGCTGTCGATGGCACGACATTTCACACACACACAAACACACACAATTTTTATATATCTTGTTTTTAAATTACTGTGTTTGATTTCTTATTCTCAGCTTTCTTCGTTGCAAATCTGCGCTTGTATGCGTGCGTGTTCATGTTTATGCGCCCATGAATCAGCGGCTTTTGCTTTTATGCATGCAGCTTCCGTTTACCTGTTGCTGCATGCGCCGTTATTGGTATTTGTTATGGCCCTTTGCTGCTGTTTGCTGTTTATATTATTTCCGCTATTTATCGTTGTTAGCCTTCGCCTCCTGCTCCACAGCGGTGTCTTACCGCTGGTCGCCGCCATCTGATTGCACTTGTTAATGACAATTTTATGCTCGTACGGCTGTAGTACGTTTACAAACACTGACGCACACATACACACAGAAAAATAGTTGCATCCTTTCATATTATATGCTGTGCTCTCTATACGGATCTGCTTGCCTTTTCTAGCTGGAGTTGATATTTTTATGTCCGCACTATCTTTGCTGCTGATTGCAATATTTTTCCGTATCTGGAATTGCTTTCATGCACTTTGGCTTAGATTTTTAAAGCTGTTTCATGGCGGTTGACAGCTTTGTAATAGAAAAGTATAGTTCGTATAGTTCATAAATTCAGGTAGATTTCTGCATTTCATTGTGGTGAGAGAATATATTGCGAAATAATAATTCACTAGTGTGGAGCTTGCCTTGATTTGCTTAAGCTAACTGCACGGATATTTTATAATTTTCAAATGTTTTACGCTTTCATTATGTGGAAAAGAAATCAAAAATCAATTTGCTTTAAGAACATCGGTTGGTTGGTTGATTGAAAAGATGGGGCGCCTAATATCTTTTAAAGTGGTATATTGGGTGCCGTGGAAGATATCCGGTCTCAACCGACTGAAGACCGACCGAGGCATCCACAGAGTTAATATTCTACGAGATGCATCCTTCGCGCATGCTCTGAATTCTACCGATTATATTTTTACAAAATTTTTTTTAACAGCTTTCTGAAAGTGGGATCTTAGAGGTAGATGCTCCGTGATGACTACTGCAATGTTGCTTAGTTCTCTCTTACCAAAAAGTAAAAGTTTTTTTGTCTGTTCACAATCAACCCTACCCCAAAGTATTTTTGTATTATACATTGTATTGCTAGTGTTTTTCTAGAGTTTATTGTTTCAACTAACTCTTGAAGGAGCTGAATGATCTAAAGCTAAAGCTTAAGGGAACTGCATACCCGGCTACCTCTGAGCGGGTCAACTCGCCTGCGTTTTCATTACCTTCTTTCCAGAGACGAGGTTCACGGTGATTTCCATTGAAAGTCTAATTATTGCCTTCGTACATAGTCTTTTGCAGTGAGAGTTCGTGGATAGCCTTTATTGTCGCATGGATATCCACAAGAAAATTAATGGACTTGCTGGTTAGAATCGAAGCCCATTTTGCGTCTTTTCACAATTTCGACCTGCAAGACAGAGTTATAGTGTTTTAGTTTGAATTTGTCTTCTATGTGTCGATTACTACAAAAGAAACCTGCTCAAGTTCCGCATTCACTCATTGATCTAACGGTGTATATTTAGATATCACCATTGGTATTATCGATTACGGTACCATTGGTCAATACTTCTCTATTGAGGAATCAAGCTGTTATGTTTTCTTGGTCTCACGGTCAATCTAGCTCAAGTTCTTTGACAAGCGACTCATCTGTATTGGTCTAATAGTCTCGAAAGCTCATCGAAAGCTCAAACTCAAAACCAAACATAAATTTACGACTCTGTCTCATTAGATCGCAACATGTTGCTACAGAGTATAATAGTTTTATTCACTTAACGATTGTTTTTATCACCTAAAACTAATTGACATAGCTGCAGGGTTATATTTATATAAAGGAACAGCTTGACGAGATGAGTTAAAATCTGAGGTGCTGTCTGTCCGTCCGTCCGTCTGGCTGCCCACCTAGCTTTGTATATATTTTCCATATCGCTGAAGTTAAATCAACAAAACTTGCTGAAAAGAAGCCTCTTGAGCATTTCTTCATACACTGTGAAAAGGAGGAAAATCAAATAATCACCACGCCCACTACCCATATAACGGTTATGCTGAAATCTACTAAAAGTGCGATAATTCACTGTATAAATATGACACAAGCATTGAATTTCACAACCATGATAGTAAGAAAGGGCTTTATAGCTTCGGGTGTACAAGGGGCGTGGGGCCCCACCATTATCTTGACCATTTTCAACGAAATTTGCCGTATGAAGTTACAAAATTTTTTACATGTAATTTGAAAGTGGATAGGATGACCACCACGCCTACTATATATGGGCCATAACAGGCATTTAAATTCCATCTGATTCTTTCACTTTACATTTAACAAATCAAACATCAGTGATCATTTATAATATTTCAGTCATGACAGCAATGCCAAATACGGTAAAATCGGGTCCATACTTCGCTTAGCCGCCTTTTACACTGCATCTATCGGTAAATATGTAAAAAATCGTAATCGAAATCAGAAAGAATATATTTTTAAAAATAGTGTATTCTTTTGTCTAAAGTAGTTGAAATCAGGGCAATACTACCTACTTTGATATAAGGTTTTGCAACACCCAGAAGTATTTCCGCCCCATTGATATTTTCAAATTGCGAGAGTATTAAATGTTCTTGGCTATTCCTTACTTGTATTCAATATAACCAAATTATTTTCTTAAATATACAAGTACATTACTATTACATTAGTATAAGTTTAGAATCTAATTATTAAACATTAAGGATAGTGAATACGACATTCAATGTAACTGTAAATATACAGTATAAGCTACTAGACAATTTTTAATATCGAATATTGAATCTTTAACTAAGTGTGTATTTTTTTAGAGATATAGATGTTTTATCAGCATTGACCACTGCCTTGACGTACCCAAAGTTGACTGACGTTGTCCCATCACACGACCTAGGCGGCTAAGTACCGCTCGCTTTATTTGATATAATTTGATCATTTAAAGCTTGTTCGAATAAAATGCTGGTCTCACCAACGTTTAGATGATTGATTTGGGTTTTGAGACGTAGTTTCAATGTAAATCTTTTTCCGATTAATTTCCCGAACCACCTATACACATTTTGACAGCTAGTTTGACAGCTATTGCTCTAGGAAATTATACCACTCTTATATTGTAGTATAAACACCTTAAATGCATAAGTAATTAAATGCTGGATTTCATTCGATTTTGCGACTTCCTTAACTTACTTGACTTCCTTACTTGTAAATAATATTTAAATATAATTTCTACAATAAGCTTTCAATAATTTAATTTAAATGTAAAAGTATCCTGCTGCAATATGTGACCAAGAATTTTCAATCTTCATTCTATGAAATTTCAACTTACTGCACTACATATACATAGTACGTATGTAAATATGTACTAATATATGGAAAATAATTGTCACAGATAAATAATTGTATTTGTCATTTTCAACTGTGTTATTTCATAATCGCAACAAATAAACTCCAATGTTGACCAATTTGTAGCAATTTCATGGAACACAAAACCATTTGACATTGTCTGCCATTGTCATTTGTAAGAGTTGATATAAATAATTGCCACTTTTGCAACAAATACAATATCTACTTAAGTGCATAAATACACACACATACACACAATAAATATACATGCCGACTTAGTTCACAAGCTGGCAGTGTAGACAAATCTCAGCCGCTGTCTCAATCTCAATCTCGATCTCGTCCTCCGTCGCCTGCGCGACTTGGCAAATACTTGCATATCTGCTTGGATTCGTATATTAGCATCTCGGCATGACATGATAAATGTTATGACGTGCACGCACACAGAACTTAATACACTCACACACACACATTCACATATAAATATACATACATATAAGAGGCGATCTTCCTACTTGCGCAAATATTTTCGTGCGAATAACGTGAGTTTGTCTTGCGTGGCAAGAAAGTAGTAAGTGAAAGATGTGTTGTAATTTGCTTACATTCCGTTATCCTTTAAAATTTGCGCATAGACAATTTCTCGCATTCAAATCTGGCGGCTCATTTGGGTATAAAATGCATATGAGCTTGTAAGTCGATTTGTAGCTTTCGAGCTAGAGCCTGTGTGTGTTTGTGTAGTGTGATAATCTATTTATTTGTATACGATTTTCTGTGGCATAAAAGGATTCAGGCCCTGCTTGGAATAATAATTTATTATGTAGTACTTATATTTCTGTATACATATATGTCCACATATATCAAATATTTAATGTTTGGAAGCAATTTAATGAAATATGTGATCAAAATATAACTTATGCTATCTTTGTATTTATGCTAAATTAAATTTGTTTGATATAGTATATCTACGTTTTATCAGCAGTTAATATGCTAGTAAACTAATTTGAATTCCAAATGAGATAAACATATATTTTAGAAATTTATTGTTACTTTGGCATGTCGTGCTCAGCATATTTTAGGCGCAATTTGTGAACTATATCGAATAAAAAAACAACACTAAAAAATGAAGAGCCTATTAAGAACTTGATATAAAATGAGAGCTCATTTTGAACGACTTAAGGCCAAGTATATACACTATTTATACTATTCATACTATATATACTCTGAGTATATGTATATTAGGGTGGAGTGAAAAAAGCTATTTTTTGCTTAGCCTGAGGGTAAAATTTTCCAAAAATTTTCTTTTTTAACATCTAGAGGCTCATTTTTAAAGTAAATTTCGAGTTAAAATTTTTATTTCGTAAAAAATTTTCGATAAGTGTTCTAGAAGCTGTGGAGCGTCCTTTTTCTAGCCAATTAAAAGTTATTAACTTAAAAAAAATTTGTGTGGTCATTATTGGAGTTTTAAAAAAAAGTTTTAAATGACAACATGCTTTTCTTAAGCGTTAAAATGAATTTTGAGTCAAAAAACGTCAATTTCGGTAATTTGTATATAAATGGAAGAGTTTAAACTAAAAAAAATTTTTACGTTTAAGTTAGTGAGCCGCCTCTAGAGTTTACACATTTTTTTTTTTTCAAAAATTTTTCTTTGTTATTAATCTACAAATTTTACTTTCAGGCTAAGCAAAAACAAATTTTTTTTCGCTCCGCCCTAATGTATCTTCAGCGATTTTATTCGAAAAGGGAATATGAATTCTCGATGCATTATTTTTAGCAAACAAAATCTAAATATTTTTATTTAGAATAATATTTTCGTTCTTTAAAAATTCTGTGAAAACTTCTGATGCTAACATAGCTTAGTTTAGTTGGTCATTAAGTCTAATCTCCGAATTAACACCTTATGATTGAGCAAAACGTCAGGTACCGATGAAGCATCTTGAGTCTATCAAAGCTCTTCACTCGGTTCCAGCGAGTTCGCCTGGACGTCTGAAAGTATAATATCCAAATTCTTTTAGACTTAGTATTGTATTTTATCAGTGAGCTGAAGTCCAGTAAATGCTGTCTTACTATCGAAGTGAATATTCGTCTGGAAACATTCTGAAAACTGTAGATGTTTTACTAACTTGTTTGGAACACTAAAAAAAACGTATTTTCATTATCAGGAAGAATAACTTTAGACTTTCTAAAAACTCATGGCTGAAAAGCTCGGAGTCAGCAGGTATGAACAGTGCCTACCGAAACAACATATTTTAAGGCCTACATTTAGGCTGATAATTCTTTATGGGATCACTGCTAGAAAGGACTTAGCTACATATTTGCAAATAAAACAATCAGCTTTTATATTATATAATATATTAACCGGTCATATTTGAAAATATTTCTGCTGCGGAAACTGCTTATTTTCTGGCCTACATTTAGGCCGATAATACTTTGTTGAACCACTGCTAAGGAGATACAAGTACTTGAAAATTAAATAACGAGATTTTATATATTAATCGGCCATACTTAGAAACTTTTTTTCCTTATTTTTGAAACAATTCTATAACAAATATGAACCAACATTATATGCCGGTTGATCTGCTCTTAGCTGAAATCAAAAACCTAGTAGGAAGCGCTTATCATAGTAGCTACATTGACTTCATAACTTTACTGCTCGCCAAAAACTCTAGGTCATGTGGGTATTTGTATGGCTGGAACCATTATTGCCTCCTGCGCTCATAGCGTTAACTTTTCTGTTCACAAAAGTATACGCTAAATTATAAGTAAATCTTCTCAGACACATCTAACTAATTGCTATTATAAATACGAAAATGTACAAAAAAATATTGTGAGTGAGCAAAAGTATTTACTAAGTGCCTGTTTGAGAGCGCTTAGCCGGCACTTTTACGAATATTACCACTTAAAGCGCTACAAAGCAACCAAAAAAAAAGCGCCTTCTATGCGTATGGGTGAATGGGCAGATTTGTGAGCAGAACAGAACAGCGCAGACAAACGCAATGAAGACATTCACACACACGTACTTAAATACTTAAGTGCCATCATAACATCAGTCAAAGAAAAACTGCGCCACAACAGCCGAACGACCACTAAGCCACATTTCACATATTATATACTCGTACAGTCATAAACATATATTTACTTTATTTATGTAGGAAGTATGTATGTGAGAAGGAAAAGATGAAAAATTGTAAATGTTGTTTTGTAGCTGTTGCTTTGTCGGCTTAGACATACTTAGGCAAGGTATTTTTTCTACAATTATAAACTCGCTCTTATATACTATATGTAACTTAAATACATATCTACTACATATTTATATACATAGTATGTATATATCTGACTATGTATCATAAAAGCATATATGAGAAAAGTCACTAAGTGTCTGCAAGTCAAATTGCTACATTAAACTCAATGAAAGTGTTGGTAAACTAAAGTTATTGCGAATGTCTAAATCCGTTGACAATTATGGGCTTATTTCTTGCAAGCAAGTAGATTATGTATAACATAATCATTTCTGTTTTTATTTGTCATGTAAAAAGCCATACAGTTACGGCCGAAAAGCAAAAGTTCAGCTTTGTATAGATATAATATTTACGAGACATACAAAGAACAGATATACAATTTAAATCTATTGGTATTTCTCTTCTCTTAAAGTTCATCACGTCTCGTAGAAAACCATTTTTTTTCTTATTTAATACTATGGAGCTCATATTCTTTTTCAATTTATGCTTAATTTTGAAATATTCCATCATAGCTTTAAAAATTTCTCTGTTTTGCTATTTAAAAGCTCAATATATGTTCTTTAATGCTGGTATTCCCAAAGCTTAGTTGACAATTGTATTTAGCAATATACTCGCCTTGCAATTCTGTATGCAATTCTGCCATATTGAATCAGGTTTTACTCACCAACTAATGCCACAGCTCTCCAAATAAAATATTCGTATACTGGTCTACAGTGGCTTAATTGCCTTAGTTATAAGATCGATGGGGATATATTTGTGCTCACAATCTATCCTATCTGGTCCTATCAATGATTTTTAAGATTTGCTCTCGTTTGTTTTTAAATCTTTATTTTCATTTTACATTACAAAAATCTGAAAATATGAAACAAAATAACAGATATATTTATAATATGTTGCTTTGTCGGATTTTCTTTTTAAGGATCAGCAGTAATCTTTCATATTGGGACGATCTCATTAAGCTTGATGATATCAATTGATAGATTACTGTACTTATATCTGGGTATCTGCGGACATCCCTGTTTTCTGAGAGTATGTGGCAATGACTTTTGAGAGCCTAAGGGAGTTGCGTAAAGCAGTACATTTAGTAGACTACATGTTTAGATATCTCCATTTTTATTAAACCTTGAAACCTTCTGCATAATTTTTCGAATATTCTTGGTAAGAAACCTGAAATTGGAGATCACGTGATGCTGGTATGTGCGAAAAAAATAAATTTGATTGCTATTAAACCAATAATTAATCGAAATATAAGAAATACATATATCATAAAAACAAGAGCACATTCAATATTTTCATGAATAAATTCATATGTAAACTTAAAACCATCTAAATTCGCTTAAATATCCAAGGCAATAAATAAAATATATTTTTTTGTAAAGCTGTGTTATCACTTCACTTATACTAAAACCTTTATACTGGTAGTGGTGAAAGTTATGAGCTTATGGGTGTTCACGCCAACATAATCATTTTCGACCTTTCACTTTAACCAATACCGTATTTATCAGTCATAATGTAAAATATAAAACTGATATTAAGTGCGGCTATTTTCTTCAGCATTATTTATTGAAAGCCATTGGGAGTCGTTGAAATCTTGAACAATACTTAAACGAGGCTCAAACGATACATTCAGTACTATCCAGCAGCCAATACACGATCAGCGACTCGAACCCATTCACGCTTCTATATGAAGATTCTCATAGCTAATAAGTTTTCCTTGGGGAACAGATTCACTACTTTTCAAACGGTAACTAGTGGTCCCGATTCTAGAATAGTAAAATAGCAGTAGTTAAGTAGTAGTAGTAATAAAAGTTGTGTTGAACGGGGGCAAGACAAAATACCTTAAAGCCACACACAAATATTTTTTAGCGTCTTATGAACTATGATACTGTTAGCAGCTGTTAATTTGAAAAAGTTATGGGTTTTGTTTATTTTGGAACTAGCATAAATATCACCAACAAGCAAAGCATGGAGATCAAGCGCAGAACTCTTGTCAACCGGTGAAGTTTTACGATCGATAGGCTTTTGAAAAGCTGATGCCTCTCCCGACCAACAAAAATTACGCTCTATAAGACTTTTATCGTTCCCATTCTATTATACATATGGCGCAGAAACATAGACTATGACGAATCGAAATTCCAGAAAGCACTGGGAGCATTTGAGAGAAATGTTCTCCGCAAGAGCTTTGGAGTCTTTTATTTAGGATTTGATTTAAAAAATCTTAACTCAGACAGGTACATTAAATGTAGCAAACAGAGAAACGGTGATTTCCTACTCAAAAACCTTTCAAATCACTTATAATCGACTAAGACTTCGGAAAGTACTATTATCTGAATTCTAAATGTACTGATATAAAGCTAGGGGCAAACCTTTCAGTGATAGTGAGTCACTAGTTCCTGGGAAAAATTAAGAATCAGTAGTAACTTATTTAATTGTCTTACAAAAACCATAAATAATATAGATCCTTTGCATATAACCGCCAATATATTTTCAGAAAGCATGTAATCCAGCAAGTTTTAAATGACTTTTGTATTTACGATAGTGCTACAAGCAAGGACGTACATACGCATGCCTCTGATGCTAACAGTGCTTGCGTTGACAAACATATGTTTTAGAACAAATAGGCACCCTTGCACGCAATGAAAAATATTTTCTAGGGTTTCTGTTCTCATTTCTAGTCTAATAACCAACGCAGCACTTCACTGGCTTGCCATTGTGTTGACTTAAATGTCTTCTAATATCACCATTCCCTTGTTTTCTTTATTTTCCTTTCTTGCTTACCATTTTTCAAGTACTTCCACATGGACGAAGTACTCAGTCAAATGTGTTTTACTTACGCGTTGACAAAGTTGCTTTAAAAAGAAAAAAGATGACTTTCGAAAAAAGGTTAAGTGCCCTCAAGCACACGCACGAAGAACCATTTGCTTCTACAAATATATATACATATTTATATAGGTGACTTTATTTTAATGTGAGTATATGTAAATGGCCGCTGGACTGTAAAAACTCCTTAATAAGGGTTGTTATACTAAATATTCAAATGCGTTCCTTCCTTGAGCTATAAGTGTATGAGTTAATAACCCGCAGGTAAATAATTACTCACTCTAACTCTTCTACTATTTAAGCTTCGATTTTGAATGAGTGCTCATAATTGTAAACACATCACAATTAATTATTATTTTATTGGTTTCAAATGGTGTCAATACCGCACAATTATTCAAGTGGTTTGAAAAAAAATGTGTTGATTTGGAAAAATTATAAGAGTACCTCACGTCTTTGGAGTGTTTGTGGGTTGTAATAGGCTAGATGAGCAGAAGTTCTGTAAGAAAGGTAATTCCATACTCACAACGCTTCTATTTAATTGATCGGAAATAAGAAATTGATCTTCTCCTTTCCAAATAGAGAGTTTTAGCTCAAAGGTGAAAGCATATCAAACAAAGTCGAGATTATTCACAAATTTGAATAGATATTCTCTCGAAATAATCTTATATAAAAGCCGGCTTGAAACTCAACGAACAAGTAGCATATATCTATCCGGTCATATAAGTTGAGGACTCACTAAAAAATAACAGCATTGAGTAAAAACGATCTACTTATAAGTAATGCTGCGGAAAGAAATATAGTAATTTTAAAATTGATAAATAAATAAAATATCAAATATTTTTGGCTGGTAGTGGAAAACATTTTTTTTAGTGCCGTTGGAGATCACGTAATTCGAAAAATATTAAATTTTCTTCAAAATATATGTGTATGGTATATAGTATATCCTAGAAATTTTAAAACAAGTGATACAGTATTTTTCTTTAAATTCCGAGAATAGCCTTTGTCATAAGGTTTAAAAAAAAATACGTGTGGTACTTGGTTACTGCCGCGGTAAAGCTATTGCATAGCTTTTTTTTATCAATTTATATTTATTTATGCAGTATTTTTTATTTTCTTTGATATTAATTCAAGTTACACTTTTTGAGCGTGGTGACGGATAAGAAAATACATTTTTTTCTTTAATTCAATAAATGAGAAGTTAAAATTGTTTAAAATATTTTTATTATCTCACAATTCCTGTAGGTTATTCAGGCATTTTTATCATTGAAACTATAGGTTTATGGTAACTTAAACAAGAAACATAAGTTTGAGAACTGATATTCTTTAAATATAAAGAAATTTCCGCGTCAGAGGTCGTCATATATTTTGTTGCGGATTCTTGTGGGTCCTTATTCATTTTCAAAGAAATATTTTTCGAAAGAAAAGTTGTCAACCGCTCTGATTTGTTATCAGCAAAGTAGATGTTGAAATTGCCAGCCAAGATAAGTGGAAATTTATTACAATTAATAATCCGATTAAAATACCAAATCTCAATCGTATTGTTCTATTTAAACGAGATACTGTTCCAAAAGCTGGGGTAGCTATTTACCAAATTTATAATAATGTTACTAATATTATATGATATAATGACCCCAAATATGGAATAATTTATTTTATATTAATTACATTTTTATTAAATTTCATATCTTAATTTGCAATTAAAAAAATTGTATCTTAAATATTATTATTTTTGAATCACCCTGCTTTGTCTCTTCAATTGATTTGTTCCGGTGGAGATATGCGAAAATACGCCTAAAAGTATGCAAACATTTTGCGCATACTTTGTGATTGTGTTAGGTTTATTTCCGTTACGGAATTACTTAATTCAGCCCTGGCGCTCAAAGCTTGTGATAGTAGCTATGCAAAGCTTAAAATATTTACGTGAAACCATATGCAGTTAACTCATATGTGACTTGTGTAGTGATCAGTTCTAAAAATGATGCTTCATATAATGTTCGATTTGTCGTATCGAAGTTTCAGTAGAAAGATATACCGAATGTTAGACGCGCACTCAACCCGTAGTATGTACCCCTGATCATATAAAAGAACTTAGCGTTAATTTCTTTGTTTTCCTAATTCTTTCGAACAATTCATACACGTGTTCCGCAGAAGTCCAATCCCGTGTTGTGCTACGACAGCAAAAAGAAAAAATTTAAGTATCTTTGTTTCAAACTTGGACGTTTGATTGACGCTTTAATGCATTTAATTGAATTTCAGCAAGAACGACAAAGGAGCCATTATTCGCTATCTAACGTTTGCGCAAAAGATGATTCGAAAGTTATACCAGTGCTAATGAGCTGAAGTGATTGAATTTAAAAAAAAATCAAAGACAATAAGAAAATATAAAAATTACTAGCAATATTCTTGTACTCGGATATATGTACATGTTTTCCTCATCTACAAATTGAATATCTTCACAAGCAATCTAGAAGACGCCAACGTAAGCAAAAACCACTTATCACTCCCGCTGTTGCACAAAATGCTGAAGATTTGCCGGCGGCCAACACAAAAGTCTCTACGCACCATTAATGTTCGACGGGATTGCCAAGTTTTTAGCGCGCGTTCTCGATACTCGCCAACAACTGTCAAACAAATTTTTCACCAGCAAGCGAATAATAGGATTTGTTGTTGAGGCGGAAAAAACGTTGGCAGGCATGCTGCGAGCTTCCTTTTTAATTTCACCGCTCATTGTCTCTTGAGATTCCGGGTAGGTAATTCAATGGTTGTGTGCGCGTGATTGTGGTTTTACGAAGGGAGGGTATGACTACCCAAAAAATCAATGTGGCTCAGTGTAACTGAGTCAGCTTAAATACGAAAAAACGTTAACTTCGATTGTACGCTACACAAATACAAAATATTCCTTGCAAGCACTTGATTCCGATCGATCAGTTTATATGGCAGCTATATGCTATAATAGTCCGATACCGGTGGTTCCCGATGAGACAAACTTCTTACAACTGGTAACAAAAAAAAACTTAGCTTCCTCAATAAAATTTCTGCGAAGGAAGTGTGGCTGATCTACGATGCTCATTAACACAAGCGGTCGATGTCTTTATGACCTCTGCCATTTTTGTGTCCGTGATAAGGAAGACTCCTCAAAACACTTCTGCAAAACTTGCGACTATTTCATTAGCATAATACCATTGGAAACATAAAAGTGTAAGCAAACTACAGAGTGGCTCACGAAACGTGCTACAGAAGGTAGCCGTAATGAATTTTTTTTCTGTGCGGTTAATCGACTTTTTTTGTTTTTTTGATTGGCGAATTATTATTTAAAATTTTTAAGAATGAATGACTGGGATGCCGTAAATAGGGTTTGGATAGTGAAGCG